CAAAAACCGCTGGTGACGTTTACGTTTGCGTCTCCCTACAAAAGCTAAAAGTATGCGTTAATTCGTAATCCTTAATAGAATGGTTGGTGGTTATGCTCTTCGCCGAAGATCGGAAAAAATGGCAGTCGGCTAGATGGTTAGTCTTTATAGACTTTGATCCTCTGATCATGTAGTGCTGTGTCTAAAGGCGAAGCCGCATCAAGCCGACGGCTATCAATGTTAGAAGACCGAAACAGGTGCACACTTAGTGCTGATAAACTAAATCTTAAAACTATGTGCGCCGCACTAGAAATTGTTGCATCTTCTTCAACTTACACAGATGTTTATTCTGCCGGGTAACCCACGCTAGTAACACAAAATTTCGGCTAGCTGTCTAACATCCGAAACACTGTCAAGACATAGATTGATATGATTTGTAAATTTATTCAGGCGCTTGTCCAAACCTGTGAAGTGCCTTCTTCATCGAAGGTGTATACTTTATCAGGTGGGGCTTTTGTTACTTAAAATTTGGATGGCAATTTTCGTGATGGGTGACGCGGGTGGCAATAATGTAATCTTTTTATAGCTCTTAGTTTTTATAGGTTGATTAGAAGAAGAAGAGAATCTTGCTTTATCTACGAATAAATATCATAAATTTTCAGTTCTTTAATTTGCTGCCAAGTAGCACACAGGAACTCCAACTATCGAGGGGCTTTTGCATTGCCAGTCAGTTATAAACGTTTAGTGTAGCTAAGCGAAGTTGTTAGGAGTCAAACTGCCCCTTTGCCACCTAGCTTAAACGTTGCGAAAGATTGGATATTTTCACTTAATATTTTAACGAAAATTCCAACGTAGTTACTAGCTAAAAGCCCGAATATTTGGTTCGCTGGTTTTCTGTCACAGCACGATTAAACTTTGAGTGATTTGTCTCATCATTGTGGCCTGTTAAAGTTTTTCTGTGTTTGGTGCATATGAGCTCAAATATTGCAATTCTAGGCTTTTAATTAATCTTTAAAGCTACCATATCGAATGGGTTTTTGAAATTACCTAAGGATGGAATTCAGATCTCAGCATTTGACAAGTTGGCCTATTGGCTAAGTCGCATGACTGGAGTTTGTACACCTTAGCAAACTCCATTGATCCTGGTGGATAGCATGTATACGTCCATACACATTCCACGGGAAGACTTTACATCGGCAGAAGTTAAGCAGTTGAACAGAATGACCGAGTCTGAGGAGGTAAATCTAGGTTTTTCATTGGTCTCTTATTATCCGATGAGAATGTTCCAATTTGTATATGACTAATCTGGATTCGAGCAGTTTTGAGAGGCAGATCGCATCTTATAAACTGACCGTCTAAGGACTTGGATACCATTGTTCACCCCTTGTTAATGTTAATGATTACATTGATATTAACGGTGATGCTATTGTTGTCGTTGCAGCTTTTTTTTTATGACAGTTCTGATAATGACGTTCGTAATTGTAGAAATGACAATATTTTCTGAATGCGGAGGCTTTTCTGAGACATTGATCCCAGCCTTTGTTAGCAGTTACTCTTCCTTTTTGCAGACCACCTAGTCCGAAGGATAACCTTGCCCAGATGTCAGACGACATGACGACCATAATGAATGACATAATAAAGGGTGTGGAAAAGTACGTTCTGCCCTTTTCAGTTGCGCCTCTTTTTTTGCCCCTTTTCACACTTGGATATGAGTGCATACTTACTACTCCGGACATTGCTATTTTGCTTCCTTCCCTATATACAGTCAGGTTGTCGACGCGGGCGCCACGGACGTGAGCATCCTCGAACAGCATGACTACGCCGCACGGGTTGTGTACTACTCGTGAGTTTTCTTTGGCTTCTATTTTGCTTAGCGCGCTGACATGTTCTAGGCACAGTCGTTGAAGCGCAGGGATGCCAAGTATAACAAGTGCCTAGTCGGTTTATAATTTCTGGTGGGAATCACACAGCCCCCTTGACGTCGTGTATTGTTAGTTTTCATTGACTACTTAGGAGAGAGGGGGGAGATACGCTTTATTTTGAAAATATAATTCCAAAATGTTCAGCAAAAACGTCCTCCATTTACCCCGAATAAAGTTAGACACAAACCAAATACCGCCGGGAGGCCATAAACAATGCATAATGATCGAAGAATGCAATTCCTAACATCATGAAAAATCGTTCTTATGTGAGTCGCAAAATATAGGCAATATTCATCCTCACTCATTAATGAACGCCCACTCGACCGCTAACGGAACTCATTTGTCCCGCTGTGCCTAGGGTCTCGACAGAGGCCCTGACAACGTAGCAGCTGGTAATATGGGCAAATAGTATTGCCGGCAAAGACAAGGGAGAATGGAATGCCCATTTCTGGCTTATTAGTTGGGGCTCGGGTGGGACGCCACCTGGGTCTGGGTATGACTGGCTGACGGCGGCTAATAAGCCAGAAGTGGCCATTCCAGTCTCCCTTGTTTTTGCCGACAATACTGTCTGCCTATAATACCCGCTGCTAAGATTGTCAGGGCTTCTGTCGAGACCCATGTTATGTGAGCGAGCTGCAGGCTCCCTAAAATGTTGCCACAAGATAAACTCTAATCTCACAGGTTAATGCTTTGTGTTAAAGTTGCATTAGCGTTGGATGCCTGTCTTAAATTCTAGTCACATTTAACTGTCGCTTCCGCGTGTTCTCGTGTTAAAAACGTGTATTTATTGCGGCTGTGATCTTGCCTGATTTAGCCGGCCATGTGCCTCCTACGCTTGACGGCTTTCCGTAGCAGATTTGGACGAATCGGCCCGTCTTCTTCATTGATGGAAACGGGATATCAAGGGTCCAGGGATCACATTAATGTCTTACCGAACCGTGTCTGGCCAGTTCTTAGCTTGATATCTTCAAAACCTCTAAGTGGAAAACGATACTGGCTCGAGGGCAGTAGAACTGAGCTCGTGGTGTGGACGATGTAGAACCTGCACAAACCATTTCAGTCGTCTTTCTTAGATGGTCTGAGGTATCCTCGCGATGTCGTCATAGCGAACGCGTACTGCCTAAGTTGGGACCAACTTCACTCGAAAGATGGGACAGCGGGCGTTAAACAATTTCCCCAGTCGTGGCTCATCAATCACACACAAGGTCCATAATTGAGAACGTCGAGAACGACTGACCAAACGGATGCACGGCACACGTGGATCTTCGTGGCAATGAGGTGCCACCTTTAGTTCATAAGTGTTGAGGAAGCTCTGCGATCAGCATCGATTCGGGAAACTGGCGTCCTTACTCTGATCATTGGGCAGCACCGAGGTAAGCTTAACTGCCTACTTCTTCCATTAGAAAGCACTCAATCCACGAGGTGCCCCTTTCTGGTCAGAGATGCAGCTTGACAACAATTCCCAGCGTTTGTAGATAAACTGAGCGAAGTAACCATTTTATTCATTCGTGACACTACAGAATCTAAACCAAAGGCGATATCGTCAGCGTAGTCTAAGCCAGCCAGCTGGCGTCCGGTTGTAAAATTCACATAATCGAAATCGTCTAGGGCTCCTCCGAGAATCCACTTAGCAGCGTAGTTGAACAGAATGGGCGGCAGAATGCAGAATTCTCGATTATTACATTGACATGTTTGGAGAGGTTGTTGTGGACAAGAATTTGCGTAGTGGTGGAGCGATAGTAGGCCTTGATCATGGTGATAATTTCGGCCCGCGCCCAACCCAGTTCTATTAATAGCTACTGACTCCCGATAGACGAAATCGAACGCAGCGGTGATGCCAGCAAAGCAGACGGCCGTCAGTTGTTGGTTGCCAGGATGGGATTCCAGAATGCGTCCCAGAATAAATAGCTGGTCCGCTCGTCCACACCTAGCGCGGAATCCGGCTTGGTTGGGCCTCGTCCTGGAGTCGCCCACGGCTTGGAATTGCCTGAGATAGACAACAACGAATACCTTTCCAATAACGTCGATGATGATGTCGCGCTTTGTCTTATCTCCCTTCTTGAAGACAGGCACAAAGATGCCGGAACCCCAGTTATAAGTTATTATTTAGTCTCCACACTTTCTTAATCACCTGCGCCAATGTCGACACAAGATTTCAGTGGGAATACTGTACTTTCCGGGTGTCTTTTTGTTGTGCAGCCTCTCCATTGCATCGATAAATCCTCTCTCAGAAGAGGGTCGCACAACACTACATAGCCTGGAGAGGGTAAAAGTCCGCTGCAGCGAAGAGAAATTGTGTGGTAGGTTGGTCATCAACGTCGAGGAGGTGTTCGGAGTGTTCACGCCAGCGATCAACCCTGATTGATATGTCAGCACTAAAGCCCCCGCTCACATCGTGAAGAGAGTCACTAAGTGTTCAGGGGTTACTACTGTCTTGGCGGATAATTTAGTAAAGTTTTAGATTGCCACCAACGTTTGGAGCCTACTTCATGGAGGTCGCGGTTTTAGTCAAATATTCCTGTCAGTCACCCGCAGCCGACTTTGCTATCATTTTCTAGAATTGGTGGAAGAAAGCATCGTAACAAGACCTGGCTTGAGCCGTCTGGGCAGACAACTACAGGGCTCTTCCGCTGATCCAGTTACTGCGGCGCCGCCGAGTAAATCTAAATGTTTTTTAGCTGTCCCATAGACTGATGACGTCACAGTTTTTCTTGTCGTTTTGGGTTTTAAAACAGGATCGGATTTCTATACTGAACGCCTCAACAGTGCTGGGTTATCGAAGTTTTTCGACATCAAGACGTGTCGCATGTGGTCTTTTGGATGCAAATAAGAGGTGAAATTTTATGCGTGTTTGAACAAGAATATGCTCAAAACCATAAACGTTACCAGTTGCGGCATCACAAATCGTTCTGTCATCGCGAACTCAGCTGCAGAATCTTGATTTAACCCAAATGTAGTGTCGTAGCCCATAGTTGGATCAGGAATCCCCGCCGGAATCCAAACTGGGA